AATCAAAATAAATCCCACTTCGACAAACGCTTGGTGCGAAAATTTTAATCCGAGTGCGAATTTAATATGTACATACGCTTATTTGATACTTGGCAAAGTCAACACGCCGCGGCAGCGGCGCCCGGCCGGGGCGAAAAGGGAAATCGCGGAAATCTAAAACGTATAAACGCAACTGCCGGCAGAGGCAGACAGATTGAACGGTGCATGAACAGTGGCGGCGGCACCGGTGGCGGCAAGTACTTGTTGCGTACTTACTTGTTGATTGCTTACAATTTCAGCTCATCGATCGGCATTCATATTACAATCACGTTCTCGGATTACGATTGACTACCTCCATTGTGCGGGCGACGCGCCCCGCCGACTTAACATAATTTATCAACGTCACTATCATATTCAGCCACCCGCTTCCAACCATTCACAACTCTTGTGTCCTACAAAAAAGACACCGGTATAAATGCACAAAGCGCATCCTGGATACAAAAGCATTTTTGCGATGCCACATGCATGCAGACGTGTCGTAATTGCATTATTACACAAGTACCATATTCTCAATTGAATCACATAACCATGAGCTATGCGAATGGCCCACATGACACGCGACAATTGATATGTATATGCATGAGGGTTGGATGACGGCCGTTTCGGCGTGTAAACACACCGGGCTACAATGCACCGCATCATTGCCGTCATAAGCTGATGTGTTGCGGCCGATCAGTTAATATGGCAAATACGTCAGGTGCAAGCGCGCAAATATACAATGGCACGCATGTAGGGTCCACTTAATTGTTGTTGTTGGAGATGGGTTCCGGGCCTCAGGCGCGCCATTATTGCACCGGTGCGTCACCATCACCCGCGCGCATGGCCATTAGCCAGGGCCTTTGATCTTTGATCTTTGCTTTCATGTTCAACAACGTGCTACACTGTATCTACATTTTTATGAAGCACACTAGCGCGGATGTTTTTCCCTTTGGCGAAGGAAAGCCCTATAATCGCTGTAAAACTAGATTGATCCCAATGTTCCGTACGCCTCTTGATGTATTAGATTGTTTGCGCTGGCAAGTGGGCTGAATAAAGCGGAACGTAAACAAAAACATCAACAACAACAGTCGCGCTAGTGTTTTTTGTTTCGTCCGTAAATTATTTCGAGGGCATTTAGCGTGTGTACCGAGCTGATATGAGCGTGTTCGCTCACGTATCGGCCGGATTGATGCGAATTATTCAAATTTGAGCTGCGCACGCGAGACGCAGCCAGCGTTATTATTCAAATGTATTCATATCCAAACACTATTTGTATACATTGTTACTTAGCCACCGTCGGCGGCGGCTTCTCGATGCCGAGTGCGAGCGCCGCGCCACAACTCATTAAAAACTCTTGATTGCGAACGAACTCCGAAGTCAATAATTTTATCACTGCGCGACGCTCGCTTAACTAGTGGTGGACGGAATGAGGCGTGAAGCCGCCAGGAGCAAAAAGTCATCACTAGCCGAGCAGCAGCAGGAAAAAAACTTTGATATGGGTTGGTGTGGTGGCTGGTGTGTCATCGTGAATATTGCAGATGTCAATTATTTTCTTTCGGACGCGATTTTTTTTTGTCCGGCGGCTTGGCGTGCGAATTGGGAATTTCCTGGTGGCAAATCCCGTGGTGCGCATTCCCAGTGCTCGTCAGGTCGGCCTGATTCCTTTTGAACACGCGGCCCGCGGAGTGCCCTCGGCGTTTTCGGCTAACCGAGTAGTTTGGGCATATCGCAACATAGAAATACCCACCGCCTGCATATTAATTAGCTTCCCGAACAATGGGAAATTTTCCCGCTCGCGGGTACGTGCTCGCATTTACGTATTGCGTTTATTTTATATTAATAATTAATTAATTTAATAGATAATTAATGTTCGTTTAGTGCGCCGCATTCGGAGCGCGCGGGTTGAATTTTTTTCTTCTATTCTGGTGTGCACTGCGGCAGCTAATGCCCACAACGAGCTTGCTTGTTTCGCACAAATCGCTCGCCATTTATATTTTTCATTTGCACTGGTAATGTGCCGCTTGTTTGACTGCACGCCGCCGGAGCGCTTTTTCCGCCGCCTACAACATGCACGGCTTACAAATTGAATTTGTTAACTGCGCCACATGTGATAATACAGATACACAAACCGAGGAACAAAGCAGCGGATGCCGGGCTCGATCTAAATATAAAAAAGTATTAAATTTAATCATCTGTTGAAATTGATGTTATTTTTCTTGTCGGGTGGTGCACCGATGGTAAATTTTATTATTTCGTGTGTTTGTGCGGTTTATGGATATTGTGATATTTCAATTTTGAACGGCACGCGCAATCAGTGGACAAACATACTGACGCGCCACCCAACATGAACATGATTTCTATGAATTGCGACATCGATACGGCGAGCAATCATCCGCGATTCGCGGATATATTCCGATCGGCTTTACGGCCATCAACTACATCCGCACTCGTGCGCTCCCCCGATGGTGTGGACGTTAATTAACTGGACTTTTATATTCGAGTTATTTACTGAAATGATTGCAATAACAACAACAAACGGGGGATTTATTTCCGGTAATATTTGTCGAAATGTTACGCTGAATAATTGAGGCGTGGGCCCGTGCAATATTTATTTATTCGCAACTCTATTTGTGGAGGATAGTGAGGTGGGTAGTGGAAATTTGGGGCGGCGTGGATACAATGCCACAAAATCAATATCCATTTGTGTATCACTCGCCGGGGGTATCACACCATTGCCGGCCGTCGCCCACGACCACTCAAAAGAAATAAAAGTTTCAAACGGTGCGGTCGTAAATTGCGTTTGACCATGGACAAAAGGCAAGAGGAAACAATAAAATTAGCTAAAGCCCGCAGCGGCGGCGTGTGTTTCAGTGATGCCGACCCGAAGGAAAACCTCGACGACGATGCGAGCGAGCGGCCGCTGGCACGAAGCAACAAGACGGACTATAAACATTGAAATTGCATGCTAAAACGCAGAAAAAACATCGTAAAAATGTGAAAAACACTAAAGTCGAGTTATACATAAATCACAAATAAACAAACACATTGGGCACAATGCCTTTGCGTCGGTCACATGTTGGAAACACATTAAAACTGCACACTTCCGCGCTGCAATCGAAAGTTATGCCATTGCCGAGAATTACAGGCATTTCCGAGTGTAGATCATTCGAATTTTCAAGGATTTCCGGGTATTTTTATTCGCAATTTTTAACCGTAATTTACCCAGCACTACGGTGACATGCATAAAGGAAACTCATGAAAATTGCAAGATACACATTTCCGAAGCCGCTATTACGGGCAATGCTCATATGAAGCTGTAAAAGAGTGAAAGATATCAATGTCAATGTCGACTTACAGCATCGATGCTCGCAGATCGAACGGGGCTCACCCTTTGCCGGCGATGATGCGCGGTAAAGGCGATCGGCGAGGCATTCCCTGATATCCTTATAATATAATACCCTTTTCCTTTTCATCCGCTCGTCGGCGAGCGCTCCTATTTTGCCATTTTTCAACGCGCGCACACGAATTTTTATATCCGCGAATCTTCCACTATGGAACAGAACGCTCGGCGCTGGGAGCCTCTTCGAGCCGAATAAGAACGTAAATCATACGAGCCATAATGCGAGCAACCCGAAATTTCCTCCTTTTACATAAGCACGCGAATATGGTGCGTATCTTCAAGTAGCGTGTGCCGCGAGTAACTACACGCACTGGATGTTTCAGAAAAATGAATATCCTATAAAAATCTGTTGAAATTACTTTATATTCCAGAATTTCATTGATAGTAAATATAAAAATGTGATTTTTTCCTTGTATTTCGATCAGGAAACAATTTTTTTTAATGAGGAGCACGAAAATATTTGTGAATATTTTGAGACACTCGGTTTATTGTTGTGGTGGTAGAATGCAGACAAGTAAATTTAACTTTCAAGTGTCATTTGACAAGTTAGACAAATCATTACTCATATTTATCTGCATCCCTTCTTGCTAAAAATACATTTTTTGCTTACACAAACCTGAATGAATTATGGCAGGGCCAAGAAGTGTGCTCAGTGACCCACATAGAAAACTACAATTATGTTAAAATCACTCTCTCCGCAAATGCTGGTTACCCGAAAGCAATTCAGCTCCTTGTTCAAAAATTGCCGTCTCATTTGCGCGTGATTGCGATAGCGAAGAATGATAGAACTTATTACAGCAAATTTGCGAATAATATAAAGTTATGCACCGCCGAAATCAATACTGGAGTGCAAAACAGTGCCGAATTATGAGGTTTTCGATGATCTTCAGCCGCGCGCGCACACAATGGCTGCGACGATTGCCACCGCAAAGTTCTCGCAAGTGAAACAGTCGTAACAGTTTCGCGAGCGCGCGCCCCCGCAACTTTCCAGCGATAAACAAGCTCGGCGCAATTAATATCGCGTAAAATTCGACCCTGATTGTGGGGCAGATAGCGAGCGCGTCGAATGTGCAGATACGATCGAAACTTGTAACCGGTAACCGTTTCGGTCCCAAGTTTGTTTTAGTTAGGCTCGGCGCGCGCCCGCGTTCGAATCGCTTGCTTCACGGTTGTCCTATTTCCCTTTTTACTGCGAATGATGGTAATAATGCCTCGCCAACGCCACTCCATCGCCGCCGCCCCGCTGGCGGCGCTCATAATCGGCACAGGTGCGCTCGGTGCTCAATAAACTCGCAGGCACAATTGCAAATTGCGACATAAATTCAAATCAAATTGTGCATGTGGCATGCGGGGCCCTCTGCGGCTGTCACTAGTTGCTTCATGCGCGCCGCACGGTCATTCCCATTGTAAACCGATAGTCGGGCCAATAAAGTATGAAACGCACGTTTGAGGACGTGAAGCGTACGGAAACTAATGAAAAACAGACCGCCGGCCTCGGTGTAAGTGTGTCTCCTATTGATTGCTCTTGCTTGCCACCATGCCACCACGCGTCCAATCAACCATTCGGAAAGCTTTTCAATGGTTACGATAAATTGCCGAGCACGGTCTGAGTTGCATTGCCGCGCTTGTCACTGAGATGTGTCTCGAAGAATTGAATGCTGATAATAAAATACGTCGAGAAAACTTGAAAGAACTGCAAGGAGAAGTTGATGTGATATGAGAAAATATCAACGAGACAATTTTATACCACGTAGAGCAGGTTGTAGTCCAGGACGACAAATCCAGCCATGTCGAATTTGACGCGTTGATGAAGACATTCAATCGAATAGGAATAAATATCCTTAGCGCATGCGTCACTCACGAACCGACGCAACTTGTGTAAAAGCGGCCCGATTCTATCCACCTTAAACATTTCAATCTCATTTCTCACGAATTTCGATAATTGGATCAAATCTCTGGTCGTCCAGTGGGAGTTTAAGTTCTTACCTCAGCGGTCACATTCTCGCAGGCCCTGACCAAGTTGATGGTCTCCACACCCTCATCCAGCAGCCATAAAAGCGGACACAAATAATGCAGGAACCCGCATCCCTCGCAACTCTTCGTCAGCGCCAAGTACAAGTAGAACGTGTGCTGGAAAATGTCCACGGCTGTTTGGATCATGGACAACAAAAGCGTGAACGACAGGGCGTCGTGAATATTCTTACACACGTTGCACAATTTAAAGTGCACCCGTGTTAGTCGCTGCAATCGTGCGCGACGTGTCGCCTCCTCCTTGACATCGTCCCCGCGGCCCGGATGCATTAATTCCGTCAAGGCCCCGTTTATCTTTTGGAAGCGCATGGTGACGAACGTGATGAGCATCGCGAATTGATATTTGCACATGGTTTTCGCCAGCGTCGCAATGAACGTGGTGCATTTTTGCGGATAGTTTAAGTCGACGATTAGGGGCACGATGGCGGAGCGCGCCACCACCGAACCCAGCAGGAAGACGATCATCCACATGTTGGGTGTGTCAGCTCGTCGGAGCCAATGCGCAGCTCCTGCATGTCGATGTCCAGTCGGGCGATATTGTTCAGGCCGGTGACGAGCGCCCCGCGGTAGCGGAAGGAGAAGACGATTATCAGCATTTGGCAGGCAACGATGGTCGTCACCCACAGGATGACGAGGTTGCGCGGCTCGACACGTTGGTCGGCTGCTCCGGAAAGGTCGCGCGCGAATAGACGCAGAGGCACGCGTAGACGACGAAGTAGAAGATGGTGTAGTAGATGTCGGAGCGGCGGACCAGCAGCCGCCCGGAGATCTGCATCGGCAGCATCCCAGTCAATTTGTAGAGAACGTAGACGGGCAGAAAGCGCCTGTGGAGACGCGCGATGTACTCGGAACTGTTTGCCACTTTTGCCAGCGACATTATAATGCTATCAGCGGAGTGCTCGCAAGGAAAGGAAACTGTCGCTTTGAAGTTCAAGGGGAAACTGAACATCAAAACGAGAATCGAAACTCTCAAAAACTTGATTAATGCCGCACGCGACGCTGGTTATTACTTATCATCTCACCAAAATTATAAAAGTGTATTAGAGTCGCAACCAGATGAAAAAAGACATCAGTATGTTATCAAGCCCACCCCGAATGAGTCCATGCGCCACGAGGAACTCATTAACCAACATTACATAATGGAAACTTGATGCCCTTGTTCAAATTAATCATTTTACGCTCCGACAACAGATCAGATAACTTCCAAGGAAAATTAACGACATTGAATTTTTGAAAAATTCCAATTCTCGAAGTCTTACCAGAAATCATCCCTTCCGACATCAGTTGCAGCTACTTCGATAAATTAATATCGCCAATTTGAATATTGTGACACCGGAGCGGCCTACGAAATACATAGTCGTGGGACATAATTGAATATGGCGTTTTCAAATGATTTGCCCATTAATCAGGACCGAAATGGACATATCGCCGACGGCGCTAATCGGTTACGACGAGCCCAGCATTATGAATTATTGACTAATGGACTAATTGATCGGGCTTACTGACCGGTTAATACCACGTTTTATATGTTGATTTACAGCCGGCAGGTGAGCGTATCAGCGACGGGCGACGCTTGACCGCCAACACGTCAATGCTTTTAAGCTGGTAATTCTCTTAAGCACATTGATATTGCAGGCTCATCGCAACAGTGCATTAGTGACGGAGAACATGCACACGTATTAATTGTCTAAGACTATTTAAGTCTTTAAGATAATAAATTTTTACGCGTGAATAATAATAATAATAATAGCAATGTCTTATTGTCTCCGCGTGGACTTTAAGATGTGCAGACGCAGCGCAATTCCTCACGGCTCCTCGAGTTTCCGGCAAGCTCCCATGGTACTCTTAATTAATTCACTCGCTAACTACCTACAAGCAACTACAGCGCTGGCACCTAGTTGATATTATTAAGTGGTAGCCTGCGTGAAGTAGTGTTAATCCAATTAATTAGTTCCATAAATCTGTCTACACTTGTACTCGGTTATTATTACAATTTTATTATGGGATTGGGTTCAAGTTACCCTCGTTATGAATTATCATTTAATGCGATTTCAAGCGAACGTATTTTTGCGAAATTAATTGCCAATAATTTATTATGGTACGTTTAACGTTTCGACTCTTTTATATATACCATTTGATGTGCGAAATTAATTGGAGTAAATCGATGGGAAAATCTTGGGGTTTGCCCCGAACGTAACTTAATGCACTAATAACCGACTAGACTACAGACGGCTCGAGCGGTAATTTAATGTTATCGCCGTTTTAGTGAATAGTTATTATAGTTAATTGGAAAAGTTTCGCCAAGGGTGCGTACGCGCTAGCTCACGAAGATGCACACACGTTCTGGGGCGCGCATCCCAGGTGGAAATCCCGGCGATATTACAGCGTGCGCCCGAGATACTAACATATAGCCGGCGCTGCCGCCGCCCGGCTCTTCGGTGAGAATTTTGATGGTAAGGTGATTCGTTGCCGCGGCAAGTATGTGGCGCAGGGACTTGTGAAATATACCGATGGTAACGCAGGGATGACACATCTTGTTAATGCGTCGCATTCCCATATCCGCCACGCCGCGACCTGAACTCGTACTCATTACTATAAGATTCTATGTGTAAGAACTGATAGATTAAAAGTGCCAGTATAATTATATTCGATGTGTAACTCGCGACTAGTCAAACAAAGTCGTTGGTAACGTTCTAATTCGGGTCTCATTTTTGAAGTGAAAACTTCTTTAGAATCGTTGTGATTTCAAAATTAATAAAACGACTCTAAAAATATTTAAATAGTTCAACAGTTGTTCTAAATAGTAGATGCATTGCAGGTTTGTTTGGTGTTCATCTCTACCTGCTTATCGGGGTTTGTGTATAAACAACTTTTTTATCGCCTTGAACCAGCTCCATGCTACGCTCGCGCTACAAACGTTCGCACGTTTTAGTCAGTTCTTACCTGCACGCGGCTCGGCACTTTTCTTTCTTACATTGCAATTAAATTAATTGCATTGCAATTTATCGATAAAAATCGGCATAAATATTAACACTTAACAATACACGTGTTTAGTGCTTTTCTAACGATGATTTGTGCGTGAAATGATCACAAAACTTGTATCTTCATTTGTGCGTTAGTGGTCCGTCGGTTATTGAATTTTTTCGATGCTGGTGAGTATTGGAACGGATTTAATCAGTATGCATCATAGTGCTGAAAGGCTTTAAATTATTTAACAAAATAATATTACTTAATTACAAACTTACCAATGCAGTCCTCATCGAATTGCAAGGGTACGGCAAGTTCTGAATTTAAAAGAAAACATAATCGTTAAATCCTTTTATTTTACGATAATTATAGAGTTTCAACATGTAAGTGCCTCAACAAGTCAATATATAAGTTAAAACAAAAACATTGTATACAATAGAAAACAAACTTTCTGTGCTGAGTATCGCAATGGTCAGATAAAAGTTACTTACTAAAGCACGAATCTGTTTCCAGTTGATCTAGCGACCGACCACGTCACACAATAACCGACAATAAAACCGCAGCATTATAATTTGAAATTAAACATCAAACGCACAATTAATCATTAACAAAACACTGCAGACGCACATTACAACTAAGTCGAGTGATGACCGAATATAATGCAAATTTTGAAAATAGAAGGGCGAGAAACCGATACGCGATGCGCGAAATACGTCTAGATACGCCAGAGTCCGGCACGATACTGACTGCAATCCATCGATACCGTTTACCGAAACTGCACAAACAACGATACGACAGTTCACAATAAGAATCTGTACCTGCTGCGCGAACCTCACAGGTAAAAGCAATAGATGCGCAAAGCCGGCGCGTCGATGTCACACGACCTTGTGCACGAATTGCGATAAGCACGATATTTGCGATCTAAACTAAACTAGAATATGCTGCATGCGGCGTGCGGAGATTGCAACAACAGCACTTGGCAATCTCATGCGTTGCATTCCGCGCGGTGAATGCGATAACAAGATGTAGATTATAAAAATTAGGAAATTCTTCATCAAATAAGATATTAAAATAATGAAAATATGTGGGGTAAAAGGTCTAAAAACGTGGTTAAAAGTGCCAAATTCTCTATCAGATGTATATAATACCAATTCGACATATTACCAGGTGGACGGTATCCGACAGCAGTTAGAAATATTAGGATAAGTCACTGAATATCCGATTCCATGCGCGACAATTCAATAACTGTAAGCCACACTCGCAGAAATTCATTGTTGTTGCCACTATCTATCACGTTAACACCTCAAGAAACGCGATTAATAACTATGAAAAGAGACTCACAAACAAAACACGTGCCCACGATACCAGTGCGCACTACCGACTAAGGCGGAAAGTGAATTGCCAGCCGACGTAAACATCTAGTTGGGGACACCAGGTAGATAATTGTAGGATTGGATATTTTTTAATATTAATGTACATATCCATGTCAATTAATTTAGAATATATAAAGAAAGAGAGAAAGGAAATTGATATATATATATATATATAGAGAAACAGAATAAATTAAATTTTAAATCAAGTCGATAAATCAGTTTGGGTTCCTCGGACGTTGTAGCGCAATTATTTCTCCTTCGTCTTTACGATTGACAATCGTGAACACAATAAAAGTGGGGAATAACATATTTATTTCGCCGTTCAGTTTGTCGCACTTAAATATACAATAATTTCTTTATCAATCTTTCATAATCCCTTTTAGATTAAGCGTCCTTTTACAACTATCACTTCATTTTGATTAAATCTGATAAAGTTTTACAAAATTATAGTTATTAACAATTTCGTAGTATTCCACAATATATGTCAAAGTAGATTGCATATTGGGTGCATCTACTCGATATCTCCTAATGATTCGTTTCACAATGAACAATATACTTTACAAATCTAGCGCTTTAGTTTGCGAACTGTTTGCCTATTGTTTGACGCATATTTATCGATTGATTGTTCCAGTACACAGCTTTGTAATAAAAATGATAAAATTTTTGCATATCGATAACAATTGATAGATTTTTTCGAAGTATTGCTCGGGCACGCTCATAAGTAGATGAATTATCATTTAAAGAAAACCTGCGTTTATAGACAATAAGCCAACCGGAATATTGCGCCGGCTCTATGAAGAATAACTTTAAGACGCAGGTGAATCTAGTCATCACATTTAAGGTTTTATTGATAAGGGCATTTGTTTTTAATAGGATGGTGGTGTTATACAATCAGATAAAGATCTAAGCTTCACTCTACAAACTTGGCTATAATAATGGTTTGCAAATACAACAATACTACTAAACCTACGCTTCATCGTAAAGAAAAACGTCAAGTTTTCATTATTTAAAATATATCTTCGTCTCACAGGATTCATAAGTACTTTTACTTTTTAGTATGTTTTTTTTTTTTGGTATTAGTAGTTTTTTGGTTATTCATGAATATGTTAAATGCTATAAATGTACATTTGATCAAACATGTGACAATCAGTGCTCAATAAATGGAGTCCTTTCCGCTTTGTTTTGGAAAGTTTCATTTGCATAACAATCTGCGGATATAACAAATGTTTTTAATACTTTACGTATACATCATTAGAAACAATCAAAACACATCTACACAATAATAATAATAATAATAATAATAATACAATACTCTGCGCCTGTTTTATTGCAAACTAGAATCGATATTCGCGTTTTAATTACAACTTACGGATTGTGGCTTGCCGCAGGATCACTTAATTAGTTATATATTAACTTATTACAAATGTTGCGCATGAATGGTTCGCAGTTCTTCCTGTCCCTTTGAATTTGAACATGATACACGATTAATTTCAATAGTTTCTACAATAAACGTTTCTTGCGCATATTCATTTATATATATTTATATGTATTTATATAACGTGATAACAGTGCCAACAATGGGAATGTATTCTATCCACGTATTTAATAATTGAATAATCTCATGAACAATCTCCACACGTTTGTATAATCTCTTTACTTTATTATTAGATCAAATAAGCTCTGCATCATATCTCCAGCAATCTTCGCATCTATTAGATTCAAACTTGAACATATACGTAGATGTTTTTGTGTCAGCAGTGGAGTTCTCGTAATAAGTCACTTAATTTGTAAGGATTAGCCTTCCGAGATTTGTTGCGGGTACATCCTGATTGTGGTTTTAATGTTACATAGAATTTCACGACAACGGGCGACACTTTGTTACGAGAGGCTTGGCACAGCGCACGGCTTTTCAGCACTATTCTTTAATTCTTACATACCTAGCTAAATAATTGGGTAATTAGTTAGTAATGATTAATTATGTTAACGTGAATCGAATCGAATTAATAATATTGCAATGTTATCACTGAGAGTCATACTTGAATGTTCCATTGGTTTTGTTTTTTTACAATTTATTCATTAATTCGTTCCGTTCCGCATCGATGGGGATGGCCGACATGTTGTTGGTTTAGATGTTCGCTGCCTACATGGCGTGATGATCATTTACGTGGGGCTAGGTTGAAAATATCGCAAACCGTTTATCTACAAAACAAATATTCAATACAAGACATTCTCAATTATTTTAATTAAAAGTTTGGTACCGTCATGTCATATTCTGTGATGTAAGCTGGTATCTCGAGTTGGTCTGGTGACATTACCGAATACAGATACTCAACCCCCGGTAAACTATGCACCTTTTGTTTAATGGCTGGCGCCATAAACGTTGTAAACCACCAAGTCATCATCTACAAGACACAAACAAATCAAGATTGCTAGACAAGATAAATACATCATCGATTAATCAATTTTTTTCCGTTAAACAGGTCAAACTAGTTTCGTGTAGACTATAAATATCTATATAATCATTTACCTTAGTCCAAAATGTTGGATGTATAATGTAGAACGCTTTCAAATTCTTCTTGTACTTGTACGGCAAGACATTGTAAACATCTTTCAACCACGAGAACGAAGGATAATTACTGTTCGACGTTAACGTGTGGAAATATGCTATCACGTAATCGCCTTTCACGATCGGATCCAACAATGATATCAAATACAATAAAGCCTAAAACGTATATTTGTATAAATACAGAATTCAAGTGGATAAAATTAATATTCATTACCTTTTCTAAATTAATCTTATTGAATGGAAACCATTTTCCGACGAATACCACCACGGGTCTTCCTAGACGATCCACACCACTTTGATATAAACATCCAATGCCAGACACCTCGCTTAAATCTTCCGTTCTTGCACGCCGTAACAACCGTTCATACCTGCAAACAAAAAACAAACATTAATGTTAATGATTAGCCGCTCAATGCCAAAACCAATGAAATTATTTGCTAAATAATGCTGAAATGCATGTCTACATCATGTTCGCGATGATCATTACAACGTTGATGAACATGTAGCAAATCCCACCGCTACGGTTCACAGTTCCATCGCTGATGTGGATGCGATTTATGTCTGGCATTCGTCAACGCTCTCATAATTGAGCAACAATATGAGAAAAATTATCACGACGGCAGGTGATTCTGGTTATGTAAACCCAGCAGCACGGTTCGACCAAAAACGGAAATCGATTTAATCTCACCGTTAAAGGAAACATAATTTCAATTGTAACTGCGCCACTGCTCATGAAGAAATAACAACAATAGTTACGCAATGCAATCGTAGCACAAGCACGCCAGCAGCAAAAATTAATCCGTATAAATTAATTTAAAATGTCACATGTTTTAATTCTCAATTAATAAATAAAGGCTTGTGTAAACTTTGCATATTTTTATTAAGTAAACTTGTTTATATTCGTCTGGGGCGTGTTTTTGTCTAAAAATGAAAATGCAATTACCTGTCTTCGATCAATATTTCCATTTGCGTATCTTCTTCTTTCGCAGGATATCGAAAAAACTTAACGAAACTAGCCAAAACGCCCAAGTCTGATGAGGCCATATTTAAGGTACGCTAAACTTTCATGGTACAAACTTTTTTGGGTATTAAAAGAGCGCAAAGTTGTCTATGCTCCACTTTTTTTCAAACTCACACGCAACTCTTAACCGAAATGATCAATAATTGGAAATTAACGCGTTACATCCAAATTTCGAGCGGATTCTTTAGGCGACGCGCTGCCGGCAACATCGAATGCACAATTGTGGCAACATTATAATTGCCAACAGCTTGTTGCGCGTTCGCGTTTTAGCCGATATTCCTTGTTTTGATTCGTGCTCTGTTCGCGTGGCGTGCCGCAGTGTTATAATCGAAATAAAAAGTTTTGCGAATGCCACCGCGCACCACACCGCTTATTGCGACTTCGGAGAGGGGTGTCCTCGCTTTGTGGTCCTTTGAATTTGAATAAGATACGAAACGCGTCAATGCGCGCAACTTTTGCCCGGCCACGATGAATACCACATCGGACAATGTCTAACGCGTTATAACTTTGTTACGCTTTTCGTGCGTGGATGCAATTGTCTCTTTGCGTTGGGACTGTGATCTCGTGATAACATTGGCGGCGCCATCGTCTAAGTGCGCATAAGGAAACTTCACCTAATAGAATATCACGTAAGCTCGACACAAAGTAAATTTATGACCGTGCGTCAATCAGTACAAACAGCATAAATGTCTTAACTAACTAACGAGTGCACATTTACGCACGACTAATTAAAAGCAAAATGGCTGTCATAAAATTAAGACGCAGTTTCATCATCTTCACCCTCGTTTTCATCAAAATTTAATATTTTACGTGCCTAAAACAACACTAATATCAGCAAAAACCTGTGATAAGCTTGTTATAACTTTTTAATGAGAAACAATAAACATGTGCACTCAATTATAATCGTAAAACGTGATTAATTGCCTGTGGGACACCTACATTTTGACGTCACTGCTGTCGTCATACAAACACAAATATGATGGCACAAAAGTGATAATAACTAATCTGTGATGGAGACTCACCGTTCTTGATGTTGGATCTCCTTCACCATAATATCGGCGAGTGGATCATTATAAGTCCGTTCGCCCAACAGCCGCTGCTGGTCGAGATCACCTTGCATTTGACTGAATGCATGGTCGGCGAGACTCACCGCCGAATCCAACTGGCTCGATAGATCTATCGATTCCTCCTCGTCGGCTGTGCGCGCCACATCCAAATGGCGGCGAAGGAAAACGTGAAAACGGCAAAATCAATTGAATTAGTAATGAATGTTGCTATGGCGGCGGTGTACGGCGTGCTTCAACTTGATATCGTGTGTATTTATAGTGAACTCAATGAATACCAAACCGAGTGTCCATCACGTAAGGACAAAACACGAAATATCGAATGTAATTGTTCCAAGTAAACACAAAAGATTCCACAAACAGGAATTGAAAATGGGCCAAAGGGGCAAATGCAACGAGGTAAACAATTCAAATATAAATAGCACGTATACCAATGGCAAACGGAGCGTATGTTTCGAACGAATATGAATTCTCGCGTTTCTTTACATTTTTATTATTCAAGGATGTAATTACAACAAGAGCTGCATTGAAACCACCCTATATAAAATGACTTGTCCTACTTATCCGACCTGAAACGCAACCAACCGTCAATTACCCAATAAATCGTTAATACGTTTTCAATGCCTTGTCAGTTCGAAACTGCTCCAAACCCTGAATTGAATGTTTCAACTGCATATCTTCGATAATGTCACCCAAGGAAAAACGCCAATTAATAATGAAAATTTTAAAAGCACGATTATTCAACTACTTACATGAATATTCAAAAGATTCGTTTATCATGCCTTCTTCCGAATTAAACACAGACAAAGGACGAAGAAGTATCGCGAATAACTTATATTACAACGCATCCACCGAGTACGACAAACATCTTGCGGTAGTAAAACTAGCAGGCAACAAAATGGATGCCTTATCATAAAGGCAACAAGCATAATTAACGCCAACCAGACGCTTGCTGTAAAACCAAACTAATAAAGCTGCAATTAACGCGGTCGTGTTAATACGGACTCGCTTCTGAGTGTAAAACGGATTGGGTAAATTGAATAATGTGCGTATGCTGCTCTGCCGTATGCAACCAACATTACAATAAGGATAGTTTACCATGTAGTGTGTGCTGTGGATTATCGATAATCCTGATTTGCCTGTCGGGAATCATGGGTTCGCCGTCCAAGCCGCCAATATCGGCGGGCAGCTGCCAACGTGCGGCGTCCGCTTCGTGCTTAGAGCGTGGGAAGTAAAGTGGCAGTAGAACTTCGTAGATACCGTATTCGGAATTGTCAACAACGAACACGACCGTGTCCAACGAGCTGCCGTAGTGCTCGAGAAAACGTCTCACTGTGCCTGCAACAATAAAACCCGACAATAACTCATTACTTTTTTTCGTCCAGCAATCGCTTAATTGAATTATCTTTCCTAGGCTTCATGGATGCTTAATCCAATATTAACCGAAACACAAGCAGAGACAAGAAAATAAATACATACGTAAAGCTATATGTGCGCCTTCGTCCGGAGGATAATTTCGCTTCACCGAATTGACGACGCACAGCGCTATCGAATGCAGGCCAAGTTCTCTTGATTTCTGGAGAACGTTTCTGAAAATGAAAGAAAAACGACTGTTTACTACTCAATGTGTTGGAGATCATTTATTTTTAGATCCAAGCACATGCAACTTATTGATGCGCAGACGTAAAAACGTGGTGGAAACCGTGCGTCTGTGCTATTTTTGGAATATCATGCTTTTCGGTAACGCATCGTGATGGAAATTATATTGGCAGTTGAAATCCGCGTTGAAGTTTCCTGTTAAGCAGGAAAATCATTAAGCATCGATGAATAAATAAGTATCCACCGGCAGCTTAACGTCGAAAGTACATCACCACACAACAGATGCGGCTTGAATGGCATTTCTCAAGGCTCACGCCGCGTATCACGTTCATTCATCCGACATTTTCTTCATTTACGCGCGGAATTGTTAAGTAGCCTACTTAAACATGCATGCACCTGTGCAGGAGGCTCATAAAACATAATTTCGTCACATGTGGTTAAAAATAGCCGGTGATAGAAAAAAAGAAACAAACACCATTTCTAATTTTAAGACAAAGTGTGATGTTTATTGACGTATTCACACGTAATCACCTCTGTACTTACCTATAACATGTATGTAATGTGTTTTCAGCGGCCGTCTGATATTTCGTATTGTATTTCGGACCTACGGTGTGAATGACGTATCGTGCTGGCAGTGCATGTCCTTGCGTCACTTTTACCTCGCCGGTTCGACATTCTGCGTGAAACAATATAATATCATATCATATCACGTCATGAAGGTTTATGCAATCGACTGCGTGCTTTACAAGCACAAACTCGAAAATAGGTCACAGCAAATATCAAATTTAATAAATTAAATCATGATATTATGGATTACCATAGACTATTTTTAGCCGAGTCTCAGTTATAACTTAAACTAGTAGTAGCAAAGGATTATGCTTATGACATAATGACAGTGGTGTCATTACGAACCTCTGATATCAAGGCTAATTTCCTCCTTCAAGCCGGATCCGGCACGTTGGAATATCCGGTCGCTGACGGGGTTGCTATCATTCATAGACTCGTTCGTCGAATTCACAATGGCGTCGACTTGCAGCGACGATATGTCCCCAGTCCTGAATGAGTGAAATTAGATTACATTAAAGACTAGTCAAAGTCAAATGATTGGTAATTACAAAGTACTCACCATAATACGATCTTGTGATTGATTTCCGCATCGTATGCGAACGGCGGCTGCGTGTGTTTGGGCGCTTCGCCGATGTTACTGTAATCGGTGAAATGGTGCGATGGTGACACATCGCTCCACCGCCGTAAGTTACCAACGGAGACAATATCATGAGCCACCCCCAACGGTTCCTGATTCATTATGATCCTCATATCGTGTGTTTTTTTCCTTTTCCTTAGCTGCGCTCCACGTTCTTGACGATATTATGTGCTGGCGTTACATCTACCTGCAGCACAACAACAAAAAAAATGTATTAGTATAATGATAACGGCTGGCATTAAGGGTTTAGATTTTTTATGGCCACCTTAGCGGACATAAATGGAATAAATTGAGTGTATGATTGAAATCAATTGGCAGCGTGTAAATACAAAATGGCATTGCGCCACCAGCGACGATGGACAAACAGAAAGAAGTCTGGACGAATTGATCGAGCCCATTCGCTAACGCACGTCGACGCCACCGCGTACTGAGTCGATGAATTGTTTATGGGGACCTCTTTTCCGTGCATACACCAGGCACCCCTCAAGCGGTGCACGAATTCAAGACAAAGAAATATTGTGTTTACTCTCACATATCAAAAAAGCATAGGTAGGCCTTTCTTTGGAGCAACTTTGAATAATACCTTGGGAGTACAAAACCTTTTGTATTAATTTAGCGCCATGACGCCATTAATGTCAATCACTTTATACAGGAATATTAATATACAAAGTCATTAGCAAAGAAAGCTGTTAATGTTAACACTAGGTTGGAAATAAAATATCATTACGAACTAAAAGTATCACTTTTTTTAGTTTAAAACACTTTTCAAATGCGTCATTAGAAATTCCTTGATGAATAACTGGATAACCCTTGAGTAACATTGAAAATTGCACACATGTAAACACAAATGCAAGAAAATTAATTGATGCAAAGTTATTTTTAACTGATTATATTCTATTTACGCATTTGTACTTTAACTTTAAAGTTGAAACAAAAACGTTGCTCTGAACTGGTGATAAAATCTTTAACGATAAAATGATTCGCTTAAAACTTATATGACTTTGTTTGTCGACGCGAGAAACTTAATTGCCGTGTTTTTCCACTGTTTTTTGTTTACAGTGGTGGTGAACAACTTAGAACTCAAAATTTCTACATTTACAGAGTGGAGGCAACGAAATTGCTTACTAATGAATCATTATAATGACTAAATTATTATGTGTGTATCCATTTTGTTGATAAGGACCACTTTAATGCAATTACATACTTGCAAGCGAATGAGTTGTGCATGTTATTCAATTTGTAAATATTATGCATGGATAAACATGTTTAATGCGTTTTATTTTATAAAATGCGTAAATAAATGAAAATAAATTTACTAATCTACAATATAAGAGAATTTTTGACATCCAAGGGCGAAAATTGTATCAGAAATAGAGAAATTGGCTAAAACTAAACGTAACACTGCAGTACTGCTGGACTACCCGCAAAATGTGGTGGGGGAAAACGCATCTAAACCATTAAATCGCAGTGGTAACAGAAGACAAAGTTTGAATCACCAGGTGTCCTTTTAGATTACGACCAAATGAGCCGTAATAGAAGCCCAAGTACTCGTAGAATATAATAATGATGCATCATCGATAGCGATAGCCATGATTGGCAAAGTTGGTATTGGCATACCTTGTGCTTGTGCAACACAAACAGACAAGCACTTTGAGAGTGTGCAAGGCCGCGGACGCTTCATATCAGCACGTGAATGGTCCTTCTACTCTCCGTAGACTCCCGTGAACCCGAAAGTGGGTCACTATCCGTTCATCGGTGTTCCATGTCGCCGCACATCCGCTGCCGCGGAGCGTTCCTCTCGCGCCGTCGCCGCTCACCCCTAGTATTTTCGTTCCTATTTAGTGTTGCCCGTTGCTCCTATCCTGCCACTGCTCCTGTTCTGCTTTCGGCACCCCGCTGCCCCTCTCCGCGCCGATACCGTCATTGCGTCACGATTTTACTGGAGCATGGACCTGTGACTATGACGTCAACACGGAACAGGAGAGAAAAAGATACATTTCTATATTCCTATAGTCCATATCGACTCGAGGAAAACACACTGGAGGACAGCTGGACTTGAATGCTGAATTTCATATTTCATCTAGTGAAATATTGAATTAATGTCGCAGAAACCACTTTTACGAAACACGAAAGTATTATTAATGTGTTTTAATTCAATAAAATTAACTATAAACAGGAAACCAGTTAGTTGGGTGACCCAGTAATTGAATGCGCCGATACTATGCTTTATTCAAGAGACAACAGCAGGTTGTTGAACCAGAATTAGTAGTTTTTAATCCCACTTTGGTATCAAAGCTAAAAATAGCCTCTGGTTAAAACTTGGAAGTTACATCATGTCATTGTGCCGAAATAGTGCCAACTTTTTGTCGCTACTGACCCCATAATCGGTGATCCTCGGAGGTTAAGCACTTGTGCGCTTTCCTTTCAGTGACACATTTTGGCAAACGGACCGCCACCAGCCCCAGTGATAAAAACTAGGGGTTACTGGGTAACATTGGCAACGATTCAACTAAATTAGCAACCAAAAAACCACTCATTACCTCACTCAAAATTTATAACTGAGTATTATTAAGTTCAAAGTAAAGATAACTTCGATAAGTTATGTGAGTTAAGACTTAAACTTATTTTAATGATGCCACAACTCCAACTTTCGACGTTCGGGAAGTTATCAATTAAACAGTAGTTAAATATGTATTTAAAGTTAACATCATTAGCGAATATTTATTTTGAAGAGATTACAGAAATGAATATGCAAAATGTACACCTTCGGGCCTCACTATCACGATAAACTACAATGCTATTATCAGTATTAACTGAAACTTTGTGTATGTTTGAGCAGGTAGTAAAATTTCCGTGCGCGCACTGGGTGCGTATTAAAGCATGCATTATTAACACAACACTCGACAGTATAAGGACACACAATGCATGCAGCGACCAATTAAAAGCCTTTAACTAATAGTTTTAGTCCGGAATAATAGGTAATCATTTCGAGAATTGAAAAATTCAATGAAACATCTAATATTTGCGCGGAGCAGGCATTTATTGATGTAACAACTTGATGCTTAATGCTTATGTCATTCAATAACCGGTTTTCTATTTATATTTATACGTCAAATATGAAATCGCCCACAACCCGCATGAAATTGCATTTCACTACCAACCTCGCCCTATTCTGCACCACCGCACCTAATCCCTGGACCGTTTTTTATACCTACTATCTGATTAGATGCGCAAAAAATGACCTACAACAAGCGCAAATATTCCCGAAACAACAATGCGCACTGTCATCTACTAATTACTATAGTAGACAATGATATATTCTTCAACTTTCCATTATTCCACGCACCATTTTGCAATAAACTATAATGCTGTCATTCCGTAATGAATAAGAATTGTTAGAATTGTCTACAATCAATACATAGACGGTATTTATGCCAGTGACTAACACAAACAGCGATAAGATAAGACAATTTTATTATGAAGTGATAGGTTTATACTTGTTTGTTAGTTTGTACACAAATGATGCGAGAATTTAATATGTTGCTATTGAAATTATATTGAAATTTAAACAATTGGAATATTTACTAAGTAAAATGAGCACTCAACACCAACGGACATTACGCATATGTTTGCACAAACGCTGATAACACTGTCACAATGTTGACAGAGGCAATGGTGTAATACTGTAATGATTTTGTTGTTTGAATATAAAGAAAAAAAGGTGCAGCTAAAGTTGAGGCACAAGGGCAAGGTCAATAATTCCACACTGAGCTTCTCCTCCGGTTCCTGCATTTTGCTCAGGTATTGAATTCCGGGATATTTTGTTTCTCTCCGCTTGGTATCTACCTTCGCAGGCGCGCGTTCAATGATATATCATGATTGGGAAATGTCAAGAAATGTATCAACGGTAAATGAATGTGTATACCTTCGAATCCTGCTGTCCGGTATATCGTTGTCTTGTCTGGGCACCGAATCCGGCAAGAATTAAACAAAAAACAAGCACGATTCTCGCTGGGACATCACACGCCGCTGCACGCAACGCACACACCACGTACGTGGGACACGAAGCGCGATCCCAACAATCCACACCTATATCGGCCGCTCCGCACTGAGCACCACGCAGAACGCAAACGCACCGACGAGGAAACGATTCTTTGTGCGCATGTTACTGCTTCGGGTGTCCTCCGCGCCACGATGGAATGTCGCTATATGTGCGCAGGAATCATCGCTGGAATTAAAGCACGTTTTGATACTGCTAGCGACATCTGTCTGCATTGTATTTTACTGCAGGAAACAAGAAATTAAACATTTTATTAAAAAACATTGAATTTTTCAGTTTAAATTAACTTATTAATAAGTTAATAATCTTTAACAATGTTGAGTCGAACCTAATTTACAAAAATTATTAAATTCTTATTTTGTTACATAAATAAAATGAAATTTCTATGCAGCAGCAAGAAAATAGTTCGACGTAACGCACATAGATGTCGCGTTAAGTTCATATTTACCAATTTATTCTATTTTATTCTAAAATATTTATTCCAGAATTAAATTTTTTCTAAGAATCTAATCTAATCTGTATAAAATATGCAATGAATCCTATCAGGAATTAAAAACCCTATTTTTAGACATGCATTACATCTGAATACATCAATTTAATATTAAGTAACGCCGTAAAAAAGAGTAAAAGTAAGAAAATTCGAGTTTGCGGCGAATGAAGAACAAGAGCATGATACCTGGCAAGCAGGCTGATGGTCGTGGTGTTTGGTACAGTTGCAGGAGGTTAACCTCGCGGACACTCGACGACCATGAGATTTCCTCTCACCTGTCCTGTCGCCTAATATGTTATCTTTCGTTCTTTCGTTCGAGTCGTCGAGCTGTTTGCCCATTCGCAGACGCCAATGCAGCCAATGTCGCTAAAAATTATTTACGAACAAAAAAAACACCTTCACATACAAGCGTCAGCCAGCATCACGTTTATTTTCTTTCAAAAATTAATTACCGATTTCATAACGCTCATATTTCGCAAAGAAATCGTGAAAGATCGCGCATAAAAATTGATCAAATGACAACGCGTTTTTAATTCAATTATATGCATTCGGCGTTATTACTTAATGATAATGTGCAATACTGGATACAGTGTGGTATTATATAAGTCATGCTCGGAAAGTTCAGATGCAAATATGTACGTCTAGACAATATTTAGATGCGTCCAATTTGCAACAAAAAAAATCACATTACGCAATCTCAGAGAAAACAAAATAAAATATTGTTCAAAAGTATCCATAGTTGAATGATAGGTAAAAGGTAAAAAGTAAAAGGATTTGGTAAACGTTTGAAGCCACTCCTCCCCATTGCAGATTGGATGCGGTTTCATCAATTTGAGTGTTCATCAAAGATGTCGATTCTGAAACTGTGAAACTCAAATCCGAATTAAATATTACATACTAATACAAGTCCTGCAACTTTTACATCGTATCGCGCGACGATTAAATTGAATGCGTTACTTTCTATCTGACCTATGGACCCCGCACCAAAGAAGATGGGCAGTAAATATAAATAGAAGGTAAGTACAAAACGATGTGTCATTTGTATACGTGTGGTATGCCCATACGGGAATAGCTACAAGTTACACAACTAATATTATATACGAAAGCCGAGAAAAGAAGAAAAAAACGTTGATTCTTTCATTACCATCGAAATATGTATGATTGATTGTGCTATTTTATTTTAATCTTCTTCGTACTGCAGCAGTGGATGTCAATATACACATAGTTGGTATTTATTGCTTCATTAAGTTGACCAAATTTGTCCGTACGTACGGTGAATGTATTTATTTATGTGTTTGACGAGTCCAATCACAACCGTGCGCACATTGCACGGTGATTCATGAATTTATACGAAACTATTAAGACTAATTAGTGGACAATAACATCACATTATGTTTCTATATACGTAATCTTATTTTTTTTTAATTTACAAAAATTTCAAAATAAAATTCCAGCGTTTTCGTGTATTAGTCATAAAAAAATAATATTTTTGTTAATTCAAAAACATTTTTTCTCTTTTTTGATATAAAAGTACTGGTTGCACATGAAAAAAACAAAAAATAAAACCGACTAAGTCATTCTAAAGTCTTGTCCTTTGTTGCGTGACACGGCACATTGTGTTGTTCAGAGTTCTACGCAGAATTTTAATGCGCAACTAAGAGATCCGGTCCAGTTACTGATTTATCATTGCGGATTCGAATGTAAATCATGCTCCTCAAGTATGTGTAAACATTGTAAACAAACGGCCACGCCCGATTCTTACCGCACGCTGAATCCGATACAGAACAACAATAACACACAAAACGAATGTGCCTTTAATATTACATCAAACATCAAATGGATTATGTTCCACCGGAGGCGCATGTTTAGATAGCAAAGTTTAACTAACCACAGTCGAAGTCGAAGAATGAAAGAATAATAATAATCCGTCAGAGTAGCGCAGCGCAGACAAATATCAAGAACGCGACGAAAACGAGAAAAAGAAAGTTCAAGGTCGTGATTAAATTGGTGGCCTTGATATATTACGTTACTTGATTATGCTTTTAATCGAGAGTCGAGGCGCTAGTCACGTTCGCTTCGAATTTGTTTGTTTATTAAAAAAAAAACCCAGCGAAATGAAACACGACGCATTAGCCGAAGAAACGAGTGCGCATTAGTTTTCGGTGAAAACGAAGTTTTAATTCGGTGCCGCAGGTGGTTTAATTTATTCGCATTCGGTTTATTAATCTAAAAATAAACTTCTCCAACTGATTACATAACAGCGAGCGCATTTAAATCTAATGAGATGCAAATTATCACGAATGTTTGATAATAAAATGGGATTTAAAATACCAAATTCGAATATTATGTTAATTTAATGTATAACAATTTAAAAAATTTTATATTAAGCAAAACAATCAACACAATCAACCGCAAACCACAATTTTATGCATCAATCTTTACAATTGTGCACATACACTTTTCATAAATATAATTTTCGTCGAACATTTTATTATTTAATATCCAGAAAATTATTTTATGCAAGTACAACAACAAGTTAACAACTCTTGTCGAAACTATTCGTCGTATTGTCTGGGTATGCAAGTGAAAAATGTATTTTTTAACGTTGCAATTTAAAAAAATATAAAGAAATCATATATTTGCGATTTTTTAAGATTTCTTAAGTGTATGGTGTTTTTTTTGTGTGCGCGACTTGAGAATTAAGGTCTAAAGCAAGTACCAACCTGAAGATTTCTATTTTTAGAAACCAGAATGAAGTGCACGTTAAGAGCACGTGCCCTAGAGGTGAACATATTGTTACATTGTCACATTATACACATTAAGTACACACGGACGTGAATATCTAGCTGGCTTTTAGTGTGGTAAGAAGTTTCTCGCCTGAGAAGCAGTTTTCGTCCCTTGGTAGTTCCACTCCAAGCTGAAACAAACAACACGTCAATAAAGTCTTGCGTTTTATGTAAGCGAATATCATATTTGAATAAATTCTTAACTACGACGTAATTTATTACAGAGTTACGTCGTTTTAGGAAGTGAATGTGTCTGAGATGCTCTAAAACTTGTTGTATCGCTGAACAATATTCATGCTTTCATACAGTGTGGATGGAAGTGATGCAGAAAGCGCGCACCAAAACCGAAACAAGCGCAGCCCAAGAAGAAGACGATAAATCATCCACCATGCTCACTTTTTCATCGTCTCAACACGATTCGCTGGTTCCATTGGCTTTTACGATGCATTGCGTGATTACCCAACCGAGAATGACTTTCGATACGCGGTGCGGTGCGTAGCTTAAGAAGGAATTAATCTTTTAATTACAATAGAAAATCAGATTATACTTACTGGAATCATAAAATCATTTGATAAAAACATTTGATTAACTTCCTTTGTTACTACCTACTAATACTTTCATCCATATACTGAGTTGGGAAGTACCTGTGGATAAGCAATTGGAGTACGAGTACTAACAACGTGCGAATAATATGTAATATGAACGGTGTTTTGTAAAATGAGGCCAAGGCTACCGCGTATGCCCTTTCATTACGTTTCACCGACTTTACACATGATACATAAACTCCACTGGCATCCATCACCAAAAACAAACAGAGATAAATCTTCGCGCTGCGTTAATAAAGCAGTTAAATATGCCTTTTTTTATAAAATTGATCCATCAATACTTGAATTATAACTCAATTTGTGATGCAAGCGCATAAAACATAAAAAATACACTAAACGCAATCGTGTATTACTGTATTAAAATGTATTATATTCCATTTTTGCACAACATGCATCGCTGCTGTCGATGTAAACATATCATAATAAAATATGTATTACTTAATACAGTACAGTGCATAATAACCACTGTGTTGTTTGCTGGATAAACTCTAGTAATTATTATTTATTGATATCAGGTGTAATTAAAGTTAAATTAACAAAAAATTACATTTTCTAGAAGTTGTACATTGTATAATGTAGAAATTCGTTGAAATTTTCCTCAAATCTGCGCGTTTTGTTGCCTTGATTGTGTTTATAACCGCAACGACGCGGGATTCTTAGAAAGGAAGTTATTACGATGACTTTACGATTGCACTTTGAATTAGCCATCTTAAAACTATAAGTTATGATGCAATCTGTGTTTTAATAGGCTACCAATTTGCGTCGCAAAAGGTGTTGCAACTGAAACTATAACCATGCATTAAATTTTAATATCGTTTTCTTTTTTTGCCTAAAAACAAATAACTTTAATTGCGAAATTTGCAATTATAATGTTCATAAAGTGGAAAATTTAAAAATTCTTTGTGACAAAGAAATCATTTTATTAAATTCCTGGAATATTTAATTTTTATTTAAATTTGAATATAACAATGACATATTTTGATGGAATTTGTGAATGGTGTGAAAAACATCCGGTATCTAATTCCGGCCTATCTCAAAAGTTAACACATTTTTAATAAACGCAAATTATTTTATTCGCTTGCAAATTTCAAGTGCATTGACAGGATGTATTCGAGTATTATACATACGTCAATGACCACTTTAAATTCACACAAATGATGATATCAACAAAATAGCGCCGACTTTTGTCTATAACTACACCGAATCATAAGTCTACGAATAGCAAATGTTAGCCATAAATCTTGGCAAGGTAATATTTAAGGTTTCGGGCGCACGGCGGTTTCACAAAAGTATCTTGCGAGCATATTCGCAACGTGTATTATTTATTCGCTTCTTGCTCTGGCTTCGATTGCGCAAAACGCATTCTCTTCTCTTCGGCCGCGGCGCGTTATGCGAGAGTTCGCTGGAGTGTGTACTCCTTCATCGCCAGGAGCCTCCTTGCGCGCGGTAAGTACTTACCTACGTTACGGCGTTACGCTGACACAGTGAGACGACGGACAAGAACTGTGCATTCTTGCGTCTGCATGTAATGTTTCATACCACTACATAGGCAACCCACTATACATATAATTTGTATTAATCGCATGTGAAAGCCATTATGTTTCGTGAAAATGAAACCTTTTCGGAAAGATGATACAAACACGCTTTGTTCATTATTTAACATGGCAAGTAGAGAGTGTGTGTGTGTACTGTAACCGGATGAACGAGTAAACATACGAATTTTCCCCATACGCGAATATTTTGTGAGGTTAGAAGAGTACAAACAATGTTGAAGAAGCAATTACTATTCAATCACACCGAATACGTACGTATGCTTACATTCACGACGTGCGCCGGGTACAATTCAGCTATTCAGGCCAGTGCAAGGACGGCCTTGGCTTTAAGAAGTAAAAGTGCAATATAATGGATAATCTAGGTTAGAGTTGCACGCTCGAAATTTTCAAATATTTCATACTCGTCACAAGTCACAAGCCGCACATGTTTCGCGCACGTTTTTTTCTTTTAACGCGAATGATGAATGCACTAAATGTGCACGTAATTAAGCTCGGCATTCATTAAAATTATTCGCCGTCAAGGTGTGTATACAATGTGTTCAACATTAGTAATTTATTCCACATCAACGTAATTTTGGTAAAAATACAAGAAAAATATTTATTTAGTATAATGCCGCGCGTCACGTAAAAATTAAAAATATGTAAATTTAATTAAATTATGTTTTTGTTCATTAATAAATTTTTGCGTAAAGTGTTTGTTTGAAATGCTTAAAATTGTATTTACCATGTGTTGAACCGTGCGGTGAAAATGAGCGTAAAAGGTATGCAGCAGGAGCGAGTTACGACGAGTGACGATTGTGCAAATATAAATAGATTCGCTAGGTTTGATGCCATTAATACTGTTTGCACTGCGACGGTGAAAAAAAGCAATCCACGGCGTGTACGTCAAACTTTTAATTGCGACAACACAACACACACACAAAGAGAAGCGATTGAAGGGCGCCATCAGTCGGTCATAATTTGAATGAATGAATGAAGTGCAAAGAAGTTTAACGATTCTCAAGCATCAAGTAAACTATTTTTGCATAACAGCATAAGTTGCATCATTAGCGAGTTTTTTCCGAAACATTCAAGCGATAAAACTTGGAAAATCCACGTAAACTTTTGCATTCATTTAATTAAAACTGATATTACAACCGTACCTAATTTTCTCATTAAAACCAGTAATAAACCTATGCTTACGTTGAAGTAATATAATATCATCATCCAACTATTAGTTTTTTTGTGTTATAATTTGTTTATGTATGCATAAATCTTAATTTAAACATAAAAAAATAAAAAATAAATATTTTTAACCTAAACTTACTGAATTTATTAAAATAATTTAACACTACAGCTCACAAACTCTTAATTAGTATGTTTTTGAGGATTAATTATCTTAACTTGTCTGTAGAGGTTAAAAAACGTGAATTTTATCAAATTTATTAGAAACTACGGTTTAAAAAGCAAAATTTTTAGTGTTTAACTATTAAATTATTTCCAGTTTGTTAGATGGAATTGTGCCAAGACTATAACAAAGTGAATTCAAAAGATTTGGTAGTACTTGCTTTACATACTGCACGAGTATTGTGTAACATTCATACTTGTTGGCTTGGTGCATTCTGAACTCACCTAGCAACATGTCTAACAGTTGCTGTTTACATTTTACTGGTTTCAAGCAACTAAAGGTGTTGATCAAATACCTAATCATTCTTAGAAGCGGCATTATAAGGATTTTGACTGTTTTTGCGTCGCATTCCAAGCCAAACTGCATATTTGCATGCGAATTATTAATTAAAACCCCCAAGTGTGCCATTTGCATCATTATTTCCGGTTTTAACTTAACAACAATGGCGTCACAATGCAGCTATTGTGCTGTTTTAGTGCAATGAATAATTTATAAATGAATGATGACATATCAAAGTGAAAAATCACGCAATGTCAATATTACCAACGATTTTACTTACCTTGTGTGATGATTGCATTTACTAAATCCCTGAAGCACTTACTGTGTGTGTGTGCTGCTTGTTCCGTAATTGCATGTCTTTGACACTCTGCGCAAACAACGCACACGTTTCACGTGACCTAGAGAAGCCCGGGCTGACGACGTCGGCGACGATAAACTTATTTAATCAATTTCGCCAAAACAATAGTCTATAAAATCAAGTGCGGTACAAAAATCAAACTAACGTCCGCGCACAAATAAACCGAACTTTATTTTTATTGCCTTATTGTACGCGTATGAAGGCATCACTGTTGGTTCGCACGCTTCAATGGAACCTCAACTATTTTGATATTTTTATAACTCGCATCGAATGGTCTGTCAAGACATTAAAAAAAAGCCCACTTGGTATTTTTGTACATGTTTTTAATTTTTTCAACATTTTCATTCATCAATATATAATATTCAGTGTTTTTTTTTTGCATCGACTTACTTTCATCAATCTCATGTAATCACTTGTTTTACAAGAACTTAAACGTGTAATACACAAATCAATTTAATCGCAGGTTGTCGTACGTTCCAGCATCATATCATTCGGAATTAGATTACATTACAATACACATTTTTTAACAAATAGAAATGTACAATACGTTATTACAGTTAGAGCCCGTTTTGTGTTCCATTATGTTGGGAGATTTCATTCGTTTGCCGATTTGTTTCCTAACATACAATATTTGCGATCGACATCGATCAAAATAGATAGATATTAACATACTTTCTAAATATGTAATATATGTGTATCATCGTTCATCGTTTTTTTAAATAGCTACTAAAATGTTTCTAGAGATTAATTTCGCCTTCCGGTCTCGATGTGAATGTTGCCTCGGCTGCATGGAAATCGTAATTATAATTAATTTAATCATTATTTATTATTACAGTAGATAATAAATGAATAGTAGTAGTTTACATATATATGTAGATATATTGTGGTTATGTTTGCAGTGAAAATAGATTCATCAAAACAACTCTTCCTGACAAATGTATTTTTCACGCTAATAGTTTTCAGTCAGTTACCCTTTTTTGTGTCATAAGTAAGTACATTCAATGTTACAAATCTAACTTTTAGGCAACGTAATCAAGGCATTCGATTCGAAATGAAACAGAAAATATATATAGATGAATATTAGGCCGGCTTTGATTTCGTTCGCTTGTATTCTTTGCTCAAAAATATTTGCGATGTGTGTGGCAAAGAATTTATGCTTTAATTAACAATACAATACGAATGTTTGGCATGCGTTAATGATATTTGTACTTCATTCTTGACTTATTCAACAAGTAATCAGTTTCTCTCAATATAACAAATAATTGAATCATGTCTCTGGGTTGAATTATCATCAGCTTAATCAGTTTTACTGCTTTTTGTTTTTAAATTCTTCAATAACAAACTATATATATTTTTATGTACGATACAATTACTCGTAGCTCTAATATACAAACGTTGAATCTTTTATCTAAAATATGTTTATGCCATTATCTTTATGTTTTTTGTTTTGTTTCTCATTTATTATCATCATGTATGTGTCCACATATCGTGTTGTCTAAAACAGTTTCATTTAAAAATTTGTCAACATCATTTATATATTTTTATAGTTTATTTATATCTCTGCTCTATGTGTTATTAATGAATAACATATACACTTGATGACACCAAGAAGTTGTATCTGAAAATATGTTTCCATGCACTGTTTGTCTTCATTCAATACAGCTGAGTGTGGTCGAAACCATTTACAACATTGATTTAATAAGTAGTAATAGATAATAAGGATATTTACAATTATTACGTGTATACAACGTTTTCATATCATCGAATAAACGCTAATACTTATTGCGATCGGGCGACGTTGTTTCGTGTTTTTTTTTTGCTTGTTTTTCTGTTTCAATTGCAAACTAATACAAACGAAAAACGCGTTCGGTCGAACCGCTTATAAAAAAACAACAGAGATAAATAAAGCTTCTTTTCACGAATGCAAATCCAAATCAAAATCAAAAACAACGCATTTAATATTAATATCTAAAACAAAAAAATATGAATTCTGATTTTAAGTTAAATAAAATGCATTAATTCTACAAATTAAGCAACGAAATCACGAGAAAAATCAGTCTTGACACATAACGATTTGAATAATTTGAAAAGTTCGACGAACGCGTGCGGTTTTTGCAGTGGAATGGAAATTACAAATCAACTTCGGCATATTTCGTTTGCAACTTTTTTGCTGTCATGCGTCCAATCGAACGATTTATTACCCAAGTCTCAATGAAGCAACGTTTACCGTGTTTTGTTTGCAAATTTCGGTTATCGACTCTCTTTTCCGTGCTACAACGACAATAATAATATAGTACTTAGAGAAATTAGTATATAGTCGTAAATTAAATGGTTACACAACCCAATAATGCGTTTTGTTATCAATTTTTTTAACATTTTTTTTGTGTTTATTTTAAACGTGTTCACAGCCACACACCAATGATGCATCGAAAGTAATTTTCAATATTTTTTCATTCAGCCTCATTGAGTTTTACACGATTTGTATCGATTTTGTAGATTTTTTTGTTTGTTTCACTATAATGTATATTTCTGCTTATCTGTAATAACTTCTAGAGCCTAATTAATTACATAGGATAGGCCTACATTTATCATTTTTATAACATCATCTCTATATTCATTACAAGAAGTATAATTAAGAGTAAACATACTAAAATGCGGAATGATTTATACATGTTTATCAGATTTCGATTTGATTTCTCTCTAGATTTGTCTAGATGTGTTGAAAAGCGATATTTCAAGATGGATGACATGTGACGTCAAGAAGAATGTGGCATGGGATTTTCTTAAGTGTTAAGTAAATGTTTTGTGGCCTACGTACCAGACCTCAGTCCTTTAGTTTGCATGCGACAATCGCGTTCCGCTTTTCAGGTAGTTTCAGTTTGATTGCGTGTTTACATTTGTTGGTGCAGAGTAGTTGCAGAGTGTGTTCGCGCGGCCGACGGAGTGCGGGTTCACTTGGGCGCGCGACGCAAGCGAGCCGACTCTCGGACGGAATGTCTTCTCTCTCCGGGCGGCAGGCTCTTTACCCGCATCACGTCGAGCACGGCATCCAGGCGGCGTGGCACGTGCAACCAGGAGCGGCGTAGTTATAATTGGCCGGCACCACTGGATAAATGTAACTGTAGACGTAAGCTCCCTGCGGCTGTTGTTGAGCCATCAGCCGTTGTTGGTCCAAACACAACACCTGCCATGCAAGGTTGTCGATGAGTGAAAGCGTCTGACGCCGTTCATGGCCCATGAGACAAACGGTGGACTCTTCGACGACCTCGTGCAGATGCATCAGGTACTGGTGCTTGAGCGCTTCCTCCTCGGGTCCGCCGAAGTGGTTCCACAGGTAGTTCTCCAGCTTTGCCTTCTGTTGATTGATATCGGGGAAGTCGATGAAGAATCGCGAGCACATGTAACGCTGTAGTGACTTGATCCATTCGGGCCGCGCCGGCTGGTAGTTCTTGACTAGCAGATAGCAGTACTTAAGCAGGCCACCACCGCGGATCTCCTCGGGGTGCCTCGTTGAGATCAGTTTGTTCTGCAAGTGGTAAAGCGCCTCCTGGAAGTCTCCAAACACAGACTCGCCAACAACAGTCGGATAGAAATTCTCGCTAATCTCCAACTCACTGCAGTCGTAGAATAGTAACAACGAATCGAGAACAATCTGGAAGGAGTCAACGGAGAACTCAAACTGCCGTCGCATCGTGTCAACAAACTTCAACTCAACATTCTTATGACCACGAGAGGTTCCAAGCGAAATCAACGACCAGCGATCACCATCGTTATTCACCTTTACCATTTTGCTCACGTAAGCTTCTTTCATGCTGCAGGACGAGATGCGTTTACGACTGACGCCTTCAGGTAGCAGATCGTAGAGCGAGTTGAGAACGGCGGATTTAACGCGGTCGTAGTTACGCGGCGTTGCTAATTCCACGCCGAAGATGAGATCCAGATCGTTGTATGGCTGCGATTCGATGGCGAGGACGTGCGACGCGGCGCCGCCATTCAAACGTATGTCGCGCACTTTCATACCGGCGCCGCCGGCAGCCGTATCAGCTTCCAACTTGCCACGCACCACCGTCACCAGATCACGAAGGCGTACCTCGATGGTCGGAAAGTTACCACGTCCATGAATTGCTACCACTTCATCCATAACATCATTGAGCCGCCGCACTTGCTCGTAACTCAACACGGCCAGTCTTTGCTGAGATTCCACGTCCTTGTCTTTCTCCATGGCGATGCGGTGTTGGTGATGATGTTCTTCAGTATTATTCATAGGTCCACACTGCAACAAACCGAAAAAAAAATTCGTAAATACCCAAAATATTAATTTTTATTTGATTCAATGTACCATTGTGTGATGAGTGCAATTCGCGAATATTTATCTAATCAAATTTATCTGAATTGTGATGGGAATATCAATCACAACCGACCGGTGTGAAGTTTTCAGCCGCACTGAACGAGTGAGGAGCGCGTTTTATGAACGAACGGGGTATTGCGTCTTTGGGGATGGCAGTCAGTGCGCGCGGCGGCGCTGCGTTTCGCAAAACCAATTCAACCCGCCGATGACGTCATGAGGTCGGCTTCGCGTAGGCGGCGTCGTGAATGGATTGCGTGGGCGCCCGCAGGGGTGCAGATGTACGACGTCGACTACGCGAGGAGGTGGAGACGCCCACGCAACGCCAAAAGATATCAACCCCAGGGGCCAACGTACAAAAATCGATCACAACTGCACCACGGGCGCGCACAAAACAATAACCGAAAAAAAAAACCAAAACAATTATTCAACATTTATGCGCCTGTATAAAACTTGTTCATACTTGTTGCATATATATATATATTCTTATCTAATCAGTAGCGCACTGTTTCGAAGGACGACGCCCACGAAACCACATTTGAGTTCAAGTTCACGGCGCATGAATAGTTTAAATTGATGAAACTATACGGGGCCACGGCAAATATACTTCGATTTGAATTTCGCTCGTGACGTGTGTAGGTAAACGATGCGTTAAGAAAGTGGAACGGACCTATTTACCTACAATTCATCGCGCGACGTGGACATGTACCGAGAAATTTCAGGGTCGACGCCGCGTGAATGTGTTTCTTGACCAATATTTTTGTTTACATTCCATATTCCACACCACAGCATAGGGTGGATTCAATTCATTTCATTTCATTCACATCGCTTGCAATACGTTCTTTTCTATTCCACGCGCGAAGGTCGCAGTTGCGTGTGATTGGTGTTGTGGCAGAGAACGCAATTTCATTCCAATTGCTCCTCCTCTGCGCGCATTCATTTCCATTTCGTAACAATCGGTCATCACCGTAATGTGCGTGAACGTAATGAATGCATAAATTCGCTGCCTTGGCGTATGATGTGAATGCCAAATGCCAAACGAGGTGCGTTCTGTGTCAACCGCGCTTTTGTTTTTGAATGAAAAATGAAATGAGTGAAATTTCACACCGAGTTGTAATTGATATACATATATACGCGTATACGCGACCTATGTTAACATCTTTTACTGCCGCTAGAGGGCACTAATAGTATCAAAACTTAGAGAAAAATCTATTATGCACTATTATTAAATATGGCTGCGCAATATTACGCAACATTGTTTTTCGCGCTCGTCCGGCCAGCCTATGTATCATAATAGAAATACATAATGTTATTTTTATACGTTTATACAATAAACGTGTGCATGTGAAGTACACGCCGCGCAATAATAATTGTCCTTGGTTGAAACTCGCTCCCAATGTACAATATGCGAAAAATATTCACAAAAAAACTTAAAATTCTCAAAATTTTAATCTAAATAATAGTGAATCATCTTAAATTCCTCACTAAATCGTTTTATTACTGTAGCATGCACTGTGTGCATGTATGAGTGGCCCAATCTCGCTGGTGAATATATTGTTATTGTTGTTGCTATGTTGATTTTGATGGAAATTACAACACTCAACGTCCGTGCGCATTATATTAGCACGTTGGGTAGCAAATTCAATCTTGTCATGCAGAGTGTTGGTGTTTAGGGCAATGAAATTATTGATATTTTGCCAATTGCCAACCGTTTACTTCCGATGGCTTGTTATCACATGTCAGCGTATGTTCTGATAACAAAAAGCCCCAAATTTGAGATTAATTCCGCGTGTACCTACGAATTCTATAAATATAACACATAAAAAACAATTTAATGATTTTGCTGACAATGGAAATTAAAATATTCAGCGCTGTTATTATTTTTGTTAATAATTTTCTTAACGCGTGTTCTAATTGTATATATTTATGCTAATCGCTGGTGGTGACCACAAATCGAAGTTCAACACAATAATAATATTTAAAATGCACTCTCTCAGGCATTCGGGCGTGTAAAAACAAAATGGAAATATTTCCATAAGTGTACAAATATTTGTGTAACATGGGTATGCGTTAGGACGGGGCGCACCGCGCGTGTGAGCGCGAACACTGTAATAATAATTTCGCGATTGTTATTCAGCCCGCACCATCATTTACAACAGTCGGCCACGAAACAACAACACACAACGCACGCATTAAATATAATCAAAATGACGAAACGTTTTTATTTCATTTTTCACTGTCTCATACTCTATTAACTAACGAAAAGAACATTTATATTGTCAATATATTGACAATATATTAACAATCATTCAAGTAAAAATTAAATTTTTATATTTCTTCATCGTCAAAAATATCAGAAATATATTATGATTTCATCAATAGATTGACAATATATTGACAATCATTTAATTCATTTTGGGAAAAAATAATTTTAAACCCGATTTAAGTGATTCGCCGTACGTTAATTTAATTCAATTTGATGTGCGGCAATGTGTCGCTGTGGCACGTAGAATTTTATTGCCATGCTCGTTGATTGTGCGGGCACAGTCAGTCACAGACGACTTCAACTTCGCCCACACCTCTACGACCACATCGCATTGATACATACTGGTAGGTCGCGGTGAAAAGTGCAAGTCGCTTGCAATGCGCGTACTGTTCGTTCGTGTACTTATGTAGCGCGTTCGATTGAATGGAACTTTCGACTTCCGGCAGCATTACTTAATGTGCGCCGCTCGCTTGAAACGCCACTCACAAACTCTCGCGTTTATTGTGCGCAACGTCAAACATTAGAAATCCGAAAAACTCATTAAAAACGTGCATGATTTTATTTGTAGGATTATACGATACTAATGACTACGATTCGTCAGTTCCACGAATTCGGTCGGTGTCTGGGTTACGACCTAGAAACATAAAAAAAAAACTCGAAAGCCGCCAACCTTATAATAGCTCGGCGTGTTAAAATATTATGTCAAATTAAACTCTTTATTTTTTTCTATTTCGTACGTATTTAACGAAATAATTAATTTATGAACATTATTATAAGTTATATTAGCTTGTTGAGATTGAAAGTGCTTTATTTTTTACTTCATGCGTTGATTTATGGCGTGTATAGTAGTAGTTGTTGCGAATCCAAGCGTCAAGCGAATATAACAATAAATAAATCGCAGATAAGTGTGCGTACGTTAGCGTATGTTCAATATACAAGTATCCGAGTACTCAAGCGTGTGAAAGATGTTGCTAGCGGCGAGTTTTACGCAAATAGAAAGATCGCGTCGGATGTATAAACCGCACAAAATAGTCGCTTGACTATCGCGCATATTTATCTCACATACAATCACAACAAAACAAGCATTTAGTTAATTTTCCAAGAAACACTAAAAATTCTTTAAATTCATGCGGTAATTTTCCGTTAAGCACTAGAAAAATTTGTAAAAAAATCCAAATTAAATTTGGACGCTGTTATTATTAAGTCAAGACACCGGAAGTGTATTTTTAATCGTCGAAAATGGAACATTCCATTCAAAAACAGATATCAAAAATAATCAGCAGCCTTTATCTAAAGTGTTTTAAATATTTCTAAACTAAAAGTAGCCTTTTGTTTGGTTTGGCGTAATTCTGACCGTAAATAATTCTTAATTACATTACACGTTTTCGTTGTAAACAAGTGCGTTCGCTGGTAATCGCATTTGATGCGCAAAGTTTACAGGACATTTAATACATGCATTCGCGCGTGTTCATTTTCATCGCTGCGACATCAACTGAAGTGGAATTTACGTTCGCGTGTATTATTAAACACCACCACTGTCTGCGCGGGTTGATGGCGCAATATAACATGCGATTAAAGGGCAGGATTATACCAACAAGTGTTAAATTAGTAACTATTGACTATGTACAATTTTCCAGCATGATTTTTAAACTAAGTTATTTACCATATATGACGATATGTATGAAATTACATGCTGTGCGACATGTTATTTTCTATTTTATTCTGTGTGGTTTTTAAGTGCGTCCCGGCGCCTGTTGAATTAGCGCGTGGGCATGTGTGTAATCGATCGATCGATGAGTGTTGTACTTGTATTCGGGAACAACACGACGCCGGTGTGACAATATAACCACAGAAACCAGTATTACGCATTCACGCTCCTCGCATCATACATAATCTACTTGAATACTGATTTGCAAACTCATTCTACACAACACAACAGGGCAAAATGTGAGGTTAGAATGTAAATTTCATGTAATATAAATAAAAATGAAACCTTGTCAATGCAAAAGCCTGAAAAGAGAGCAAAGACACATGATATTTATAGAATGCCCTAATGTGCGTCACAAATCACACAAAGATTTTCCGCATTCCTCTCGATACAAACCGCGTTTTTTTTTAAATTTTATTTCTAACCTAGTATTTGTACCCTGGAATAAATTTAGTGCGTGAATAATTAAACTATGCATATCTAAACATTTACATTGGATAATTAATTCAGTAATAGGTGTTTCCGTGCTAAAAAGGCAACGCGCTCATAAATTGAAGTGCATACAACGACGCTTCGAGTGGTAATTGAATCGTTTTCACTTACGTCTTTGCAATATGTCAGCCGAACGCGCTCGAATCCTGTTACGGTGACCTGACTCGAAGAAGTCATAACGAACGCACACATTGTACCGGATCGTAAGGCGCAAATAACAAACATCGTACGGTTTACGATGACAATGGTTCCGTTCGACCAGCACTCGTGCTCAAAATGTTTATTTATTAAAAATGCAAAGAAACAGAAGAAAAATGAGGAAATCCGCTTCGTGAAATAATTAACATTTGAATTTCTTTATTCCGCATTGCATCAGTTCGCACATGACGCTTTTACTTTACTGCCTAGGCAATGGAATAAATATCCATCCACGTGGTACCGAAACAAGTATATAGAAAGTTCATTTGTGTACCGAGTGGCCGACTTAGAAGTCGCTGGCCAACGACACACTGCCTCTACGCATTGGATTGAATTTCACAGGCGAATGAAAAGAAGAAACAAACGAAAAAAAGCACTCATAAATTCTTAGCATACATAATTTATAATTGCGGCACAATTTGTGCGCACGCGGCGATGTCGCCATCGGGATTCCGGGTTTCTGAAATCGGCGTTCATTATTTCATTATTGCATTACGCTGGCAATAAAAAACGAATGCAAAACGTACCATATTTCGATATCGCATTGTATAATCGCATTTTTTTTTAAGTGTTCCGCGTGTTTTTGATGTAACGTCCGAAAACCATAAACGCAACACTCAACAACATAGTAATTAATTAGGAATACCTTTAGTTAATACTTGATACTTTGATATTTTAGTCGCGAGAGGGCAAAACGCAATGAACCTCCTAATACAAAATCGATAACATATTGGTTCGGTGTGTGTGGTTTAAATGCGAGAATGTCTTCGAGTTGCGCTAGGCTGCAAAATCGAATGGCAAAAGAAAGAGGGAATTGATTACAAGACTTATTACATTACACAGCTGGACGCTATGCGAGAATGCGCGCAAGCCGTGCGCAAGTAATACGTTGCGTAATTGGATTTTCTCATATAATATAATAATTTACCGAATTATTTTGTGCTAGCCGCGTTTTGTTTGCGGCGTCTTGCGTTGCGACACTGCGTATTGCACCACCATTGCATTCCTAGGTTAGAAACACATTTTTTACATCAAACATAACCTCATTGTTTTAGTCAACATAAAATTTAATGCGAAAATAAACTGCATATTTAATTGTTAATAAATAATTTGAGTGGTTACATTTGTATATCAACAAATCATGCTCAAGGACGAATATGATTTATGTTACAGCGAATTAACTATTAAATCTAACCTGTAACCACAAAATAAATCAGATGCAGTGATTTTCAATTGTTGGGGTAATTCTTTTAAGCGACCTTGAAGTGGTAGATCATAAAACAGTAAAAAAATGAGTAAATATTTATAAGCAAATACAATTAACGCAATTGTCATTGTGTTATGCTGCCTGGCAAGTATAAACTTAACTAACGTATTGTTAATCTGTGAAAAAAATTCCCAGCGCGATTATGTATTGCAATTTGCAATATTTACGATTATGTGAAAGTCATTTTTAATTTCGTTTCATGCAGCATAAAAATATGTGTGCGTATCAATTCGCACACTCGACGATTGTACCTTTTGCACCTCACCTGTGATAATTAATCGTGGAATATGGCGTGCGCCATTTTATCGGCGCCATGATTTTGCGTCATCTGCGGACAGACGCGAGCGTCATTGATCAAATATAAAAACGATTAGGGCCCCGTCGGAAAAGCGCACGTGCCGCCATGTTCGATAACTCCGGCTAGGCGCTTCTACAGCTTCGAAAATGCGAGCGAGAGGAGAGCTAAGCCGAAAGTCGTGACGCCACGATTTTCTATGCCTACAAAAATAGCACGAGCGTATTATTAGAAAGGATTCTCTCTCCACCCGTGCCTTACTGCTATCAGTGGTCCAAAACCGTAGGTAAGTAATTCTATCGCGTTGGTTTTTCTCTTTTTGCGGCCTGACTTTGCAAGTGCAATTGTGCGCATGTGTGTCAGGCTTAAATCGGTCGAGAGATGAAAGTAAAAGTAAATTCGGTATTACGCAAGAAGCAGCATGAACTCACCTGCATAAGTGGCAAGGGTGAATCGACCTCTTCGAGATCAGACACCTGCACACCATCACCATCGAATAGATCAATCTGATCGGATGGACCACTGAGATCGGAGACGACGCTGCTGCCGCAACTGTTGCCCGAATCATCCGTATTCATATCCACATCCTTTTCTTCCGTAGTCATGGTTGCAATTTCGCGTTTCTTGGACATCTTGCTGTCCAAGTCAAAGACAAACGGCACTATTCTAATACAATACTTAAACTGCGATGCGTTTTATTTTATTTTTAATTCCACTCCACTTTGTGCAAAGTTTTCGCAGCAAAGTTCGACGCACTTCGAGAGTCTCTGCTGTATCCTGAATGGACGGAGCACGAACCTCGTCAGTGGACTTGTGCGTAGGTACGTGCAGGATCTGAATCGTGCACGGATGCGAGCTCGAATGAATGTCGGAGAGTTGAAAACTACTGCTGGCTGCCTGCTTTGCTGCTGCTGGTCGGAACGTTCCGTGTGGCCCAACCGCACGCGTCACTAGCACATGCCGCACTGGGACGAGGCAACAGTTTGACTCGAGGAAAGGCGGCGAGCGAGCGAGCAGCGGTGGACGGATCGGTTGCGCACACACACACCGCCTGACGACGACGCCGGCGACGACCTAGCGAGCGACACAATCTAGAATCTACTACCCTCAGCCATGCGTATTCGTTTTTATAATCGCACACAAGTTGGCCTCATGGAAAATACCATCCGACCATCCGATCCGGCCTCGTCCCAGACGACGACTCTTCAGCAAAACGATGGCTGAAGAACCGGACTTGGCCATCATGCGTATACCGCGTGCTGGAATGTTCATACTCGCAGTATTTTCGGGAAACGACGAGAAGGTTTGTTACCAGGCTCAAAAAACACATTTATTGTGATTACTTTTGCGTTAGATAAAATTTTATACTTTTGCTTCCACACGCAAATCAATATCAGTAAATTATTAATTTTTGATGACTACTTCCTAAACTCATCACGAATTCATTCATTGATTTAGTTTACGATGAAATCGCTTTCATTATTTCCAGAGAATAACACTTTCCTAGAAGTTAAAATTCACGTTTAGTACAATTATCTACTTTTTAGTGTTTTATTTGTGTGTTTGTGCAATAAATTGCGAGGAATGGCGTGTTTTGCGTAATAAACAATTTGAAACATCCGAAAATATGTAGTCAGGTAGTGTATGCAAACTGAAAACGTATGCACAGCAGCAGTTTGCATTGTCTCGCTGGCCGAGTGGCAACAATCGTCGATGAACTTTAAAAGTCAAGGCTCTTAACTATCATAACATGTTGAATTAGCAACGTGCGCGTACACAGCGTGCATGTGTTTCATATAAAAATGTCAACTTGTGTGTGCGTCGTTGGCATAATTCGCATATTATCTGGTTTTTAATTGACAAAAACACAAAAATTAACCAACAAACAGACAGGAATATATAGGTTAGTATCTAGTATCGCATAAAGTGACTGAGTAAACGAATTTGCCAAATTGATTTCGTACGCAAACGCAACGCAAACGCAATGCAAACAGGGCCACGATTAGCAACCAGAAACGTTGCTTATTTATTCACGAACGCCAGCAGAATTTCCAATTACTTTGTTAATTAGTTCCATCGTTCCAAACTATCGGGTTCCAATTTGAGCATTCCTACGGGCGCATGTTAGTAAAGTGTACATAAAGCAAACCACACACACCGTATAATGACGCGTTGTGGTGGTTGTCCCTTAATATTCCATACGGTTAATTGATGCATGTGCTAATATATTACTTGAATGTGATTAACTTAGATTCATCAAACAGCCAGCTACCCAGATATGACAATTAAGGTATTATTTTATGGTTTCTTGTGACATTTGAGCACAATTACAATCATACTAGCAATTATTTCGAAACCGTAAATTTATTAGCTATAATTTTGCATTTTACACACTGCATTTGCACCGTAAATCAAAAATGTCTTCGATATAAAATTATAAACGTCGACCTTTTCTTCTACAAGTCGAAATATTTGTTATTTATTATCATGATTTTGTGTTACAGTTTATAGTTCATGCAAATGTTATAAATTTTTTTATTTATTATGACTGTATTTGATTAATCAAAGAATCCGCAGTTAACTCACCGATTACGGTGCGTATTAATAGATTTATAATTATTGTGACATATGCTCATTAATATCTGCAGCTAATTAGTTAGTTATTTCGATCGGTTCAAATTATTTTCAATAATTTGTATGCGCAGAATAATTATCGTTTGTTTGTCACTTTATACCCGAAACAACATACACTCTGATACGTTAATTGTAGCTTTCTATAAATAAAAATAAATACGTCCTTCCAAAAAATATCAATCACACATGATATAGTAAATCCGCTTATCAACAACAACGTGCTTGTTGAATGATTGAAACAAAAGCGGCGCGATACAATTCAAAAATATTGCAATTATACGAATTTTATTATCAGCTATTCGCATTCTCCGGGCGCAACTCATGAGTTATAACCCGCAACGAATTGAAAATTTGTTTACCAAAATGTTTTCACAAATTACAGGGCCTAATTTACGCGCAAACAGTATACAGTTACAGTTATCAGCAACTAAATGGATCCGCTTAATGAATTTAATTTCGTGTACGACACATTATCTGAACTTAATAATTACACTGCATCGGGGTTTATAGGCTCGGAGCATTTTAGTTGGAGCACAAATGTGCGTTGTCAAGTAATTAAATTGCTTCAACGTCGAACAACGAAACAAATGACAGTCGTGCGAATTCTAATCTAATCGTTTTAATGGAAATAAAACGTTTTTTTCTGTGTCGGCGTATGTTTATCACTGTCTTCCTGTCATATCACATACTATATGTAAATTATGTGTATATTCTGTTTATTCGCTAATAGATGGCGTTAGTGGAAGTTCAAAATGGGTGACAAAGTGTTACGTGTACAATGCGCGTAGAATTATGAAATTAATTCAGCGGTAAGCGATTGGTAAGGCTGGAATTTAATATAATATACTTTCATACGAATGCAGCGGTGTGATTACCGCAGTTCGACACATTGGAAATGCACCGAAACAAGTTCCAGCAGCGCATATCGGCCATAATCAGTTATTAGCCATCGCGGCGGCACGGCTGCGCGCTCGCGAGCTATAATTTAGTTGCCACGGCAAAGGTAAACTGCATTTAGAACGTTTACGCTGCACGTACACCGTAAGTGTGCATTATAATATTCGTTTCGTAATTTGATAATTGAAAGCACTGCAAGTAGTAACTTATATTTTACTGTTTGCGCCTTTCGCCCGCCGACTAAAACGCATTCACTTTGCAATCCGCTGCCGAAGAAAAACGTTGCTAAATCACCAGAACCAAAGGTGGTGCCGAACGACAAAATAATTTGATGCACACAGAAAGTAAAAGTGTACAAAATCAATTTTTGCACGCAAAGAAAAGATAAAAAGATAAAATTTATTAAAAAAATATTTTATTAATATTTATTGAAATTGTTGTTGTAATTACAAGAAATGTGACTGCATACCAAGACGTATTCATGTCACGTTGCACTGACAATTAATTAAAATAACGTATTATAAATATTTTTTATATTTTTGCGCGTTAAAACTTTAAAATTCAATGAAAACGCTGCAAATCCTTGAATTAAGCACCTTTTCTGTAGGTACAAGACAATTTAAATAATTAATTCAAGATCTGATCTTCAGACGCCTAAAAAATAAGCAGATTAGTGTAATTTACACCGAAAAAAATATACTTTGTGATGTTATACGTACATTGTAACAAAATTTCAGCAATCTGTCGCACTATCTACGCAAAACATGTCACAACAATATAACCACAAACGACGTCTTATCATAAAAGTTATTTGCATTCGTTGTAACTTGTAACCGAATTTCAAACAAAGTAAAATTATTGAATTTTTGTATATTTTATTTGATGTGTCTTGTTGGCAACCTGTTGCACATCGATGTTTGAATGGTAACGGCATATTTTTATTTTAAGATGGCGAGAATTAGACGACAATAAAATGTATTTTTGAGCTGTGTATTTGTAAACGTGAGCGTAAACTACGTTATGCTGCCAATTAGCAAGTTTAACAAGTCAACGTTGATTACTTTGCACGCATAAATTCATCGAGGCGGGCGCAGCGAGAGTAAAAAAACATTTCTTACATAAGTACAGCCAGCCAGCGCTCGTTAAATCTATTGAAATCGAAGAATTGGGAAACTAAGATTGCCACTTAATTTTTTTCTCAATAGTTTTCGAGGTATATAACCTAAATAACAAAATCTATCAATATCTAAAACAACGTAATTATGATTTTTATTTTTATTGGCGTTTTGTTTGATTTTTTATTTTTTGTTTTTTTTGGAGGATGCGAAAAGTTATGGACCTCGAGAAGATGCGAAGCGTTGGCGGCGGTTTAAAACGAAGCGACAGGATCAATACCCGCCACCAGCCATCTGAAAATGACGTCAGAAACAACTTGTGGAGGCCGGTCATGCACGCACATCGTGGCGGCACACAAAGCGGCAACGACTCGTCGGCACAGCCGGATTATAGAAAGAGGCGCGCACGGCGGCCGGCGGTCGCGACGCCAAGATCACTCCCGCCGCCCCGCTGCACCACCGCCGACACCATTGCCGCCGACGCCGAAGGCGCCGCCGCATTTAGCAACTTGTTGAGAGGAGAACGCGTGGGCGACGCACGCACAACCGAGGAAAATAGAACGCAGAAAGCTGTTCCACCATCACCATCATCACTACCCTTACAAGTAAAACTTCAACGCAACAACAAAGCAAAAAAGCAAAAAAAAATTACCATCCAAGCTGTCAGTTTTCAATTAAATTTGACATCGAATAAATTTATGTCGAGCGTTGCGAATGCGAACGCCGCTGAAGAAAAAAAAAGTGGACGCATTAGTGGCTCAGCCGGTTGTCCTTCGGAGCAATCCATTCGAAACTCAAGCAGCTCAACTCTTTGATCGGCAAGCAGACACTGTATAAATAAATATCTGCTTGGGCCCCGCAAGTGCGCGGGGAGATAAAGGAGCGAAACGACTTTCTGATCACTTCACCTCAACGCTCGGCGCATATCATTTTAATTTTCATTAAAAGGACATTTCGAACACGAAACCTATTCACACAGTAGCGCAACCCGCATTGGGCAATCGCCTGCAAATCATAACGTAGGTATTATATTAATATACCGCTTTAATTATTGAATAACGCCTTGGGAAATCTCATATCATAACGTGACACTCGCTCAGCGTGCGAGCCAGAATGAAATGCTCCCAATGAAATGTACAAACGTGATTTTACTAACAATAACAACACTTTCGTTTGATCTATGAGAATAAATAATATATAATTCACGCGAATCAAGGTTACTCGATTAAGTAATGAATGTAAGTATCATAACAACATGTAAATTAGTGAAAAGTTAGTTTTTTTCTTTTTAAGTCAGGATTTAACAGGAATTTATTGGATTAATTCATGCGCGTCATCTGAAATCCACCCGCAACCAAATCACATCAATATGGAGGCTGCCGCCGCACGTCACACCC